TAAAATATTTATGTTTTGTTTCTTTCCCTTTTCAGTCTTTTTCCTCTTTTTAACTTTCCTAATACTTCTTCATTATTATTCCGTTCGTAGAACGGGTGGTTTTATTAGTGAATAATAATAATAATAATAATAATAATAATAATAATAATAATGATATGAATGAAGTAGCGAAAACTTCTTGGTAAACGATAATTATGACCTGCTGTCTTGATTGGACTTGCTTGAGCCTTTCACTTTACCGATGTCTGAACACGCATCGTAGGCTTTTTGTAACTTTTACGCTTCACTACCTAAGAATTACAAGTTCATTTGACTTTTTGGGCAGTTTTGAGTAACTGAAACCATAAAGTCAAAAAGCTAGCACTATGTTCTATCTGTTCTGATCAGAATCGTGAGATCATTTGGAGTTATAATCAAGATATTCAAAGAATTGCATTCGAAAGAGCTTGACCTGATGTGAAACTCACAAATTTTAACGTCAAATTTGTCAAAACGAGCTACTGAGCAAATAGAACTTTGCGATTCTAGGGTAGCGAATGACATTTCGTGGTTGCACTCTAATGGTGGTATTTGTGAGGCAGCGTGGTGGAATCAGGCTCTCGTCAATTTTTGGGCACGTAGAGTTATTGGTATCATCTTATAGCTTGTTCACTTATCTTTATTTGGATGAAACAATATCCATTTATCTTGAATACAAGTCGAGATATTTGCAAATGAAGGAGGCGGGGTTACCTGTTTTCAGAGGTAAAATTAGTGAGAAAATGGCCGCCAAAGATTAGTTATTTCTTTAGCTTAAGAGTCGGTGGTAACAGAAAATTTACAGTTTTTGTGCTTTTAATCAACGTTTTTCAGAAAAATCCACACAGAAATTTAATTTGTTCTCTAATGGGCATGAAAGGTGTTGAGAAAAAAAAGCAAAATTTGATAAAAATTCACAAGCCTGTGGGAAAATGCAAGTTACTTCACTTTGATAATTTTGACGAGAGACTGATTCCACCAGGTTGCCTCACATTTGTAGATCTATTCTGATGGATGAAATCAGCCTATGCATCTTGTTTTGCAACCAGTTATGTCTCAGCACCAGGTGAAAAAACCATTATCCGTTCCCTTTCACCGAGGAACACCTGTTCACACCTGGACACGGTGCTCAATCTTAGCTACCATTACGATTAAGGGTGTGGAAGAAAATGAGGTTGGGTGAGTGCTCTGTTTGTTTGTTTGTTTGTTTGTTTGTGGGTTTGTTTTGTTGGTTGGTTGGTTGGTTGGTTGGTTGGTTGGTTGGTTGGTTGGTTAGTTGGTTGGTTGGTTAAATACATGTAGTTGGTTTGGTTGGTGGGTTCGTTGGTTGGTTTTTATAAGAAAGAGAGAATATGAAACGAAGCCGAGGATAGTTGGGCGGGAAGAGAAAGATACAGAAGTTTTTAAAAAACCCAAACAAATAGGTGTAATTGGAGAAAAATAAACAAAAAACAATCACACACTAAGCAGAGAAAGAAGAGTACAAATTGTAACACCAACACAAATCGTTTCAATCAGATTCTCTATTTCCCACTTTAGTTCTATCAACAACAAGTACCAACGCCATGATTATTTCAATGAAAAACAAATAGAGTGAATAATCTACCATTGGTCACATCCATGCTGATTTTAGTCTACACACAAACAGATTCGGACCGACATCTTTTCTAATGGGAAAATACACTTCAGACCTCCGAGCTAATTTCAATTTAAAACATGCTGAGCCAATATTTTCCTGGCTCAGAAAAACCAGTCGCCTAACACCTAACAATGAATGATGATAATAATAATAATAATAATAATAATAATAATAATAATAATAATAATAATAATAATAATAATAATAATAATAATAATAATAATAATAATAATAATAATAATAATATAGAGAACTAGACTACATTTCTTTTACGGACATTCCAAAAATATAATTTTAAAACATTTGCAACAGATAGAAAAATTCCAATTTTACTCGTGAGCTTTAAAGCTCTCGATATAATAAATTCTATTTCACATGTGTACCCAAGTTTCAAAAACCATAACGTTGGGTACAGTTGTGTTCTCTTTAATATTTGACTGTGCTATTTAAATCAAGGGTTTCACCGCCAAAGCAATGAGTGTATTGAGGAAGGGTAAAGAAATACGTGTTCATGCAATGTCTATGTCAGTCTGAGACAAAATGGAATTACGAATGACCAGAATCCCATTGGAGTTGTGCCCATGGTTCTGCAACTAAACAGCCTATACATGTCTGAACATCGGTAGAAACTGAAGTTAAACATTAATTTCAGACATTCTGTGTAACTTCACAATTTCGCTCGCGTTAGAGAAAGATGCCAATATAAAGGGTTTGTTTGCCTTACCCAGAACCACAGTTCACTATTGAGTGCTAAAAGAAACTGAACTTTGAGAAACAGAATGATGCTGTAGAGGGAATTTCAAACCTTCAATTTAAAGCTTTGCATCTTACAAACATTTACAAACATTCACTGGATCTTGATCCTCCCATTACCAATGATTGTGAAAGTTGCGTGAACGCTCATGCCCGTAGTCTGTAAGCAGGCCAGTTATTCTTTAGGTGATCCAAGCATTTTATTCAAAGGAAACAGTAAAATATATACATTGTACAAGAACAGATAGACATCTTATCAAAGAAACACTAGACCAACACTATTCTTTCAGCATCACCAGGCAAATTTACCGAGACAATTCAAAATCATCACTAATGTATCACAATGCCATTGGAAAAAAAAAGACACACAACGAAGCAAAACAACAACAATAACATTAGATTATTCTGTACAGTAACAATGTCATTGTTTGTCATGTTTTCAACATAAATACTAGACAAATCAATATCCTGAGCAAAACAACAATGGTATCTTCAATTGGCAACCATGAGTAAATGTGAGGCAGCGTGGTGGAATCAGGCTCTCGTCAATTTTTGGGCATGTAGAGTTATTGGTATCATCTTAAAGCTTGTTCACTTGTCTTTATTTGGATGGAAAAAATATCCATTTATCTTGAATATAAGTCAAGATACTTGCGAAAGAAGGAGGTAGAGGCCCCCTGTTTTCAGAGGTGAAATTAGTGAGAAAATGGCCACATTAGATTAGTTATTTCCTTAGCTTAAGAGTCCGTGGTTACTGAAAATTTACAGTTTTTGTGCCTTTAATCAACGTTTTTCAGAAAAATTCACACAGAAATGAGTTCTTTAATGGGCATGAAAGGTGTTGAGCCAAAAAACAAAAATTTGATAAACATTCATAAACCTGCGGAAAACGCGAGTTTCTTCACTTTGATTATTTTGACGAGAGCCTGATTCCACCGCGCTGCCTCACAAATACAATTATGCATGCACTAAGATCTGATAATCTCGCGGTCGCGATCTCGGGGAGAATTGTAAATGTAAAATATGTTAGCTATTCGTCTGTACTGAGAGAAAGTCTGCTCTTTAGAATGAAAAAAAAAGCATAATTAGACTGTTCACTTTTTAATCAGCCTTAAGTTCATTTGAAAATCGCTGTATTCAGAATCAGTGAAGCTCCAATGCAGAACAAGAGAAAACGCTCTCTCTCTTTCTCTATCCATCTCTCTCTCTCTCTCTCTCTCTCTCTCTCTCTCTCTCTCTCTCTCTCTCTATTTATCTATCTGTCTATCTCTCTCTCGCTCTCTCTCTCTTCCTCTCTCTCTCTTTCTCTCTCTCTCTCTCTCTGTCTCTGTCTCTGTCTCTGTCTCTCTCTCTCTCTCTCTCTCTCTCTCTCTCTCTCTCTCTCTGTGTGTGTGTGTGTGTGTGTGTGTGTGCGTGCGTGTGTGTGTGCGTGTCCACAGTCCTTTTTTATGAACTCGAAAGCACCCTAATGATTTTCATAACGTGGAATTCAAGATAGTGGAGAGCTGTTAACGTTGACCCCAGAACTGCCCTGCACATTGTATGAACTATGAAGTTGCTAAAAAATACTATTAGATTATATTACAGCAGCCTTTAATGGTATTCAGCATAGCATCCAAGGATGTCACGAGACAATATCCATTTTTTCCCCCGACTGAATTGTTTGATTGGCCCGTTGTTGCATCTGAGACTAGTCGCCGTGCCTGCTCAAATAAATAGCTCAATGACCATTATAGAGTTGTCAGTTTTTCCCCCTCAACTAAAATTTATGTCACCATAGGCCTGATCTGCTGATATATATATACATCCTTAGTGTCAACAGCATGGAGCCCTATGTTTTAATAAGCTACAAAACCCAAGAGGCTATTCCAGCTAAAATGCAGGTCCCTGCCCCTCCTCGTAGCTTTTTTTTTTGTGTTCAAACATTCTTAATCATTCAATCCAATAACATTAAGGACGGTTACAGCTATTTTGCAAAAATTTTTGCATCCTTCAACTTCAAGCTACGAACTAAATAAATCTACCTTAGAGTGGGTTTTTGTTTTATTAAACGATGTACACATTTACTGTAATATATTACTTTGGGTTACACATTCTCAGCCTCATTTTCGAGACATATTCTAAAGAATATATTTTTTTATACATTCGAATAAATGTACGAAATATACGTTGCACATCAATAAACGAACACTAGTTAAATCAAAAACAATTTAAGATGAGCAAGAGAAGGGTTGATTTGCGGATGCTAAAGACGCATTTATCCCTTATATATTTACATCAAGATCATACCAAAATTACTTTGGGCATGTTTACTGTCACATCTGGTCAGGTTGATCCAAATTTTTTGAAGCTTTCAAACATTTCTTTCAGGCTTTGTACAACTATTTTACGTCGCAACTGTTCATTTTAAAGATAATGGTTTACTAATTCCAATTGCAATTTTTATAACCATCCGAGACGATGGACGACATCATTCACAGTGGTATACTCACGTTTACCATACAGCTGCATAGAAAATAGCCATACATTTTCCCCTTTGAAATGGAGTCATGCACTCTTGATAATTAATTATGGTCAGATTGTGAGCACAAAAAAGTACAGTTGTAACACATGTTTCTACCATCATGAGCCTGGTTATGATTTATGGAGATTAAATCCTTTAATTAAATGCTGTATCAGCTTTTGCTAACTGGCTATGCGCGGTGCATGCTGTTTCCATTTTGGATAGTAAGCTAAACATGGTAACGTTAGTTCTTTTCTGGACACAATCAGGCTATTTATAAGGCAACAAGGAGACCAAGCTCTGGTTCACGCACCAGGAACCTTCATGCACAGGAATCTTGAAGTTGAAGTTTTGGAAATGAAAATTGTTATCCTCCGACCCACTGCATTAACCCTATCCGTACGCCCTGAGGTCATTTTGTACCCCAGAGGTTGTATTCTTCACATTTTAGAATACTGCTAGTGCGAAGATCTCTTTGAAACTTTCAGCATTTCTCAAAAAATCATTTTGACAGACTGCTATGCTAAGCGTACGGATCGAATTAACGAGTAAATATCCTCTTTGGAAAGTGGTGGTACAGAGTTCCCCACGTCGTATGGGTACGCTAGTGAAACACGACGTACGGATAGGGTTAACTCGTCTTACATCTACCATGCAGTCAAAAAAATTAAAAGATTATTTCAAATTTCAGAATTCTTAGATCGAGGTTATTATGCTTCTTTTCTGTGGTACAATGATTCGAAGAATTTTGTTATTCAGAACTGATTCTGCTCGGCTTCATTTAAAAGGACTTTTGTTAGGCTACTGGTGTCTTGGCGCTCAGGGTAATCTCCATAAGAACATTAATGAACTCTGTGATTGAAGCTGAGATTGTTAATTCTTTAAAATCTAAACAAAGTCGTTCTTTTTGTTATCAATGTCTTCAGTTCCTATCGGTTGGTCTGGAATGATCTAATCACATTGATTAAAATTTTTCATTACTTTCTATGGACACACTGAATATAGACAGTAAGTAATAACGCATCAGAATTTTGCGTGTGATGTAAAAAACTTCAGAAGACCACACAATCTCAGTACCAGCTCTTGTTAACAGTTAATATTCCAGTACAATCTGCAAAGAGGGCTTATAATGGGGTAAGCTGTCGGTATTTTGGCTAGCAGTGCTAGAAAATCACATCAAGCCGTCAATTTACTCTGCAGCTCATTGAAGTAAGCAAAGGCGAAATTTAGGGCTTATGAAAAATATACGTGTTCTCTCAACTTGTCTGCAAGCCTTTTTCTATCAAAAGAAACCTTGGTTACTCTGAGAAGTAACTTTCAAATGCTGATACTTATGACGGTAAATAAACTATGACATGGCACAAAAGTGTCTGTAACAACGAAATAGGCGACTATGGTGTAATAGCTACTCACGTTCTCTAAGTAAACATATTATTAGCTTGAGTAACGGTGATTTAACCCGTCCACGACGTGAGCTATCTGCGTACAGTACGGCGTAAAAGGCAGTCCGTTTATCAGAATCATCTCTAATAACAAGCTACTGGTGCATTGTGCGTGTTTAGTAAAAGAAGAAATGTTTCATGACATTTTGAAACTGGCAATGGGAATATACATATTATGTAATTATGTTGTTGAGAAAACACTTTACGCACTGCTCTACGACACTTTTCGTTTAAACTAGCCCCTCTTGTTCGGTCATAAAGATCAAGCGGTCGTTACTTTATAGGAGAAATAATTGATTTTTACTATTCATTCATTACAACAAATTAAAACGCATCATCATAAAATAAATTACACGAGAAATCGTCCTTAGATTAACGATGTCTTTGCTTTTGCTAGAAATCACAAGGTCGATCCAAGCAAGGGAAATTGGGGATATTGTTCAGTGATTCATAAGAAACAAAGTTAGACTAAAACTTTAGTTTTCTGTAGGGTAATGCACAGTCATGAGTGGGCTTGAGGACCCTAATTGCTCGCAAGCGTCGAGCAGGTAGGTCTTATTAACAGTCGGGTCAGCCCTAATTTTAAAATAGGCTCGCAACAAGACGTAGGGACAAAAATAGAATGCTCTTAACCGGTTAATGGCCAGTCTTGAGCAGGCCAGGGGTATAGATAGCCGGTGCCCTCTCTAAGAGGATGTGTAA